ACAAAAGATGCTGTAATGCCCTCAGGAATGTTTCCCATCACTCTGGACCTCACTGGCCATTCACTTTGGTTGGGCCTGCTCAGTGGTGCTGGGATCCCCCCCTCGCCAGGTGCCTCAACTGCTTGGGCTTTCTACATTCAAGAGAATCTGAGGAGCTCCCAGTTCCTTCCTGTCCTGGAGCTGCCCGGTTCTAGCCTGAGAATCTGTGGCCACCAAACGTCTGCTCTTACAGCTCCTTCCTTGGCTGGCTGGCTGGCTGGCTTTCTTTCTTTCTTTCTTTTCCTTTCTCTTCCTTCATTTTTATTTCTTTCCTTTCTTTCTTCTTTGTTTCTTTCATTTTCTTTTCCTTCCTTCCTTTTTCTTCCTTTTTTCTTTTCCTTTATTTCTCTTTTCTTTTTTCTTCTTTTTCTTTCTTTCTTTGTTTTTCTTTCTTTCCTTCCTTTTATTGCTTTCTTTCTTTCTTTTCCTTCCTTTTTCTTTCCTTTCTTTTTTCTTTTTCTGTGCCTTTCATCCTCTTTTCCTTCCTTCTTTTCTTTTTCTTTCTTTTCCTTCCCTCCTTCCTTCCTTTCCTTCCTTCCTTTTATTGCTTTCTCTTTCTCTTTCTTTCTTTCTTTTCCTTCCTTCCTTTTTATTTCTTTCCTTTCTTTTTTTCTTTTTTCTGTTCCTTTCATTCTTTCTTTTCCTTCCTTCCTTTTCTTTCTTTTCCTTTCTTCTTTTCCTTTCTTTCTTCTTTTCATTTCTTTCTTTTTTCTTCCTTTCTTTCTCTTTCTTTCTTTCTTTCTTCCCTTCCTTCCTTTCTCTCTCTTTCTTCCCTTCCTTCCTTCCTTCCTTTCATTTCCTTGCATGCATCTTTCATACAGCCTGCCTGAGAGGTCTGGCTTCATGGGTCTAAGATAAGGAGCTCAAGGAATAGAAGATCATGTAGAGGATCACCAGGCTGAGCCCAAGGGAGGGGTCAAGGGTGTCATCAGTCTTGAATCCCTTTGCACCCACAACAGACCTAAGTCCAGCCCACCTTGAATTCCACTGACTCTTATCTACTACCCGTTTGCTTTGACTGTTACTCGTTCAGTGTTAGCATGCCTTAAACCTGTATTCATTTGAACCACTTTGGCTCCTGATTTCTTGTGCCTGGCACTTCGCCTCCACTCCAAAGGAGCACGTAGGAAGTTCCTTTCTTGAAGAGGTGGTGGATTCCAGTGCTGTTTGTCTCCCTATTTCCAACTGTAACCATTTTAATTGTTTTAAATAGATATTAGCCTTTAAGGGATTCTATGGCTTTCTGAGGCTTTGGCCAATTTCATTCACCCAGTCCAAATATGGTGAAAAATAAACTCTTATCTAAGCAGACAAAAAAAAAAAAAAAGCCCCACTAACTTTTATGGTGGTTACTGACATTCAGGAGGTTATATGAAGACCAAAGCTTTAAACCAGTGTTTCTCAACCTTGACAATTTTAAGGCATGTGGACTTCAACTCCCAGAATTCCACAGCCAGCACTGCTGGCTGTGGAATTCTGGGAGTTGAAGTCCACATGCCTTAAAATTGTCAAGGTTGAGAAACATTGCTTTAAACTCTCCCTTCCTTCACATCCTTCATAGCTGCATTTTTCCTTTATTTTACCTGCATTCCGGTTATAATACAGCAAGCCACCTGTGTTGGTAATAGAGAAAGTTGCTGTTTTTGCAGCCTTCACCCAGAATATTGTGATCCCCCCTCCAACTCTAACAGACCAAGAAAACTAATAAAGGGGAATATTTGCAGCTCAGGATTGAAATGAGGGGACCTTGGTGCTCTCTGAGCTTGCTTGTTTTCTTGCAAATGTTTCATTACCTAAACTAGCTAGCATCACCAGTGTTGGTGACATTACATAGTACTAGGCAGGACTAGTACTGAAGCTGTTACCCAGTTTGAGTAATGAAATATCTGCAAGGAAACAACCAAGTTCAGAGAGCACTAATAATCCCTGGGAGCCAAGAAATTAGAATTACATTCAGAGCCCTCTAGTTCTCCCCCACACGCTCTCTTGCTGAAGACTCCCATCATTTGGACAATGAACGCACGCTATGAGGTTGCTGGAGAGAGAGAGAGAGAGAGAGAGAGAGAGAGAGAGAGAGAGAGAGAGAGAGAGAGAGAGAGAGAGGGAGGGAGGGAGGGAGGGAGGGAGGGAGGGAGGGAGGGAGAATGAAATAGATTGAAAGAATGAAAGAGAGAGAGAGAATGAGATAGAATGAGAGAAAGAATGAGAGAGAATGAAAGAGAATGAAAGAATGAAAGTGACAGAGAGAATAAGATACAATGAGAGAAAGAATGAGAGAGAATGAAAGAGAATGAGATAATGAGAGAGAATGAGAGAGAGAGAGAGAGAGAGAGAGAGAGAGAGAGAGAGAATGAGCAAGAGAGAATGAGATAGAGAATGGGAGAGAATGAAAGACAGAATGAGAATGAGACAAAGAATGAGAGAATGAAAAAATGAAAGAGAATGAGAGAATGAAAGAATGAGAGAATGAAAGAGAGAGAATGAGAGAGAGTGAGCAAGAGAGAATGAGAGAGAGAGAGAGAATGGGAGAGAATGAAAGATAGAGAGAATGAGAGAGAGTGAGAGAAGAGAATGAGATAGAAAGAGAGAGAAAAGGGGAGAGAATGAAAGAATGAAATAGAGAGAATGAGAGAACGAAAGAGAGAAAGAGAGAGAGAGAGAGAGAGACCATTTCCAAAATTTTGAGGATGTGATTAGAGGTGGCTGAAAGGAAGCTGGTCTCCCCTTCCACATCCCCAGGGCAGTAGTAGCCTAGTGGGTGGCACCTGCCTGGCTGAGGCTCACAGGAGCTGGGATTTGGCCCTGGGGCAAAGCCACTCGGCCTCCTTGAGGTTTTTCTGGCTTAGATTTGAGCTGCTATAGCAGTGGTTCTCAACCTTTCTAATGCCGCGACCCCATAATACAGTTCCCCATGTTGTGGTGACCCCCCAACCACTTATACATCACCGGGTGCCAGGGGCGTGGCCAAAGAAAAGGGGGAAAAAATGGCGGACAGCCTTGTTTGGTGACCCCCGTGAAATGGTCGTTCGACCCTAAATGGGGTCCCGACCCACAGGTTGAGAACCACTGTGCTATAGGGACTTCTGCCCCACATGAAAAGAGGGACGAGGGGTGACATGACAGCAGTGTTCCAATATCTCAGGGGCAGCCACACACAGAGAAAAAGGTCAACCTATTCTGCAAAGCATCTGAAGGCAGAACGAGAAGCAACGGATGGCAACTAATCAAGGAGAGAAGCAACCTAGAACTAAGGAGAAACTTCCTGATCGTGAGAACAATGAAACAGTGGAACGACTTGCCTCCAGAATTTCTGAATGCTCCAGCAGTGGAGGTTCTTAAGAAGAAGAGATTGGACAGCCATTCATCCGAAATGGTATAGGGTTTCCTGCTTGAGCATGGGGTTGGACTAGAAGATCTTTAAGTTCCCCTTCCTTTTTATTCTGTTATTCTGCTGTTCTAATAGTTTCCTGCTTGAGCACAGGGGGGTTGGTCTAGAAGACCTCCAAGGTCCCTTCCAACTCTGTTATTCTACGTTCTACTTTCACCTGACCAGCCACTCTTTAAGTAAGTTATGATGGGGGGGGGAAACACCCTTTTTATTCCAAGCACAACTGTATAGTTATAATGTGGAAGAGCCTCATTCGGGCACATCTTTTGGCAATGAACAGAATTCATCGCCCTATCAGCAGAGCGCTCTTAGGAACCTTTCCAAATCTTGCCCCATTCAGAGCCTCGGTACGCTCATGACTGTTACTGCCCCCTATTGTGTATTGCACAATGTGCCGTAAGCACATTGGGGATCTTCTGGGATTCTGGAGGAGGGCGCCGAGAGTTTGGACGGCAACTTTCAAGAGCTAAGAAATGGAAAAGTAGCTGCTGGAATTAGGGGAAGGGCCGGTGAAGGGGTAGGCCAGTGGTGGCGAACCGATGGCACGGGTGCCAGAGGTGACACTCGGAGCCCTCTCTGTGGGCACATGTGCCGTTGCCCCAGCCTCCCCTCCCCCCACGACCCCCCTCCTCACCAGCAGCCCCCCTGGAGGAGAGTCGCCCCTGAGCGTGGCCCACGTGGAGCAGCACAGCCAAGGACATGGCAGCGTAGACAAGCCTCTGCCCTCACGCCCCATTGCACACAGTTGATGCTGTAGAGCGCAGGCAGAGGGTGTGGCCACCATGGCGCTGCTGGGCTGCCTGGGCGATCTGTGGTGGGCCCTGGAGGCGGTGAGTGGCCCTGCGGGCAGGCAGGGTGGGGACGGGGTGGGGACAGAGCGGGGGCACAGCAGGGGGTGGAGCAGGGGGGCAGTTTTTCGGGCAATAGGGGTAGGCAAAGCAAAATAACAGAATAACAAGAGTCGGAAGGGAGCTGGGAGGTCTTCTAGTCCAACCCCCCAACTCAAGCAGGAGACCCTCTACCATTCCAGACAAGTGGCTGTGCAATTTCTTGTGAAAAGCCTCCAGGGATGGAGCGCCCACAACTTCGGAAGGCAAGCCCTTCTACTGGTCTCGGCACCTCGGGAGAAATCTCCCTCAAGGCCCGAACGTCGTCTGAATCAGCTTAGAAAGTAAAAGCGGAGCGTCGGCTCTACTCTTATTTCAGGAATGGAGAGAAAGGGAGGGGGGGGGAGGCGGAGGAAGCCAGCCCAGAAACTAGGAGCGGAGAGCCCGACTCTCTCTCTCTCCGCTGTCTGGCAGTCCCGTGGGGCCAGCCGTCACCCCGCGAGGAGCGGAAAATTCCCACTCCCGCGCCTCCACGCTCCCCCCCCGCGACGACCCTGACCACCCCTCCGCCTCTGCCAACCCCCAAGCCAGGCTCCTCCCCAGGCGGGTCGCGGCAGCCCAAGGGACACGCGCGGGGGGTTCACGCGCGGGGGGTTCACGCGTGGGGAGTTCACGCGTGGGGGGCTCGCGCGGAACCGCCAAGGCCAGCGACCTCCGGAGCGGGGGGGGGGTCTGCAGCATCCCTGCAAGCGCCGCTGCCGGGCACCCTCCAAAACAGCGGCTGAGCTCCAGCGAGGCCCGGCTGGGCGCTCGGGCGTGGCGGCCGCGGCTCCGCGCACTGGAGGAGGCAGCGCGCAGGGGAAGCGCCCGAGCAGCGACGTCAGCCTCCGGCCGCCTCCGGCTCCTCCGCTCGCTCCTCCCGCCGGTGGCAGCGCGGCGGCGGCGGCGCTACATAAAGCCCGCCGCGCCGACCGTTTCTCTGGCTGGCCGGCAGTGCCCGGAGGCCGGAGCCCAGCGGAGCCCCCCCCCACGCCCCAGCCGCGCAGGAGGGACCCAGAGACGTCGGGGTGGCGGCAGAACAGCCCAGCTGAGCCGGGTGCGACGGTCACAGCCCCGGGGAGCGCAGGAGGCGGCGGCGGAGGAGAGCCTCCTCGCCCGGGACAGGCATGGCCTTGGCCGACAGCGCCCGCGGGCTCCCCAACGGCGGGGGCAGCGGCGGCGGCGTCCGGAGCAGCGGCGGCGTCGGTCCTCGAGCCCCCGCGGCCTCTGAGCTGGCTTCTCCGCCGTCGTCGTCGTCGTCGTCGGGGCCCATCCCGGAGATCGTGGAGCTGAACGTGGGCGGCCAGGTGTACGTGACCCGGCGAGGCACGGTGCTGTCGGTGCGGGGCTCGCTGCTCTGGCGCCTCTTCTCGCAGCAGGAGCCGGCCGAGCTGCCCCGCGACGCCAAGGGCCGCTTCTTTCTGGATCGCGACGGCTTCCTCTTCCGATACATCCTGGACTACCTGCGCGACCAGGAGCTGGTGCTGCCCGAGGGCTTCCCGGAGCGCAACCGCCTGCGCCGGGAAGCCGAGTACTTCCAGCTGCCCGAGCTGGTGCGCCGGCTGGCGGCTTCGGGCTACTCGCCGGGCCCGCCGGGGCGCTTCGCCGGCCTGCTGCGCGACTCTTCGGTCTGCGCCGACGAGCCTCCGGCGGGGCTGAGCTACCTGGAAGCGGACTTCACCGAAGGGCCGGCCCCGGCGGCTTCTCCCACCTCGGGCCGCAGCCCGTCGGGGGGGCCGCCGCCGCCGCCGCTGGCCGCCTCGCTCTCGCTGGACGCCGGCGGGGGCGGCTCGGGCGGGCGGCGCTCGGGCTACATCACCATCGGCTACCGGGGCTCCTACACCATCGGGCGGGACGCGCAGGCCGACGCCAAGTTCCGACGGGTGGCGCGCATCACGGTGTGCGGCAAGACGGCGCTGGCCAAGGAGGTCTTCGGCGAGACGCTGAACGAGAGCCGCGACCCGGACCGGCCCCCCGAGCGGTACACGGCCCGCTACTACCTCAAGTTCAACTTCTTGGAGCAGGCCTTCGACCGGCTGAGCGAGGCCGGCTTCCGCATGGCCGCCTGCTCTTCCACCGGCACCTGCGCCTTCGGGCCCGAGCAAGGCGGCCCCGCCGAGGACAAGATCTGGACCAGCTACACCGAGTACGTCTTCTGCCGCGAATGAAGGCGCCCGGCGAGAAGAAAGCCGCCGTCTGAGGGGCTGTGGCGGGAGACAGACCGGACCCTCGCCGGGGGAAACAACAACAACAACCCCGCTTTGCCCTGCCCGGCTCCCTCCCCGTCTTTTCCGGCCCGCCGGCACCGGCGCTGCCCTCCCCGTCCAGCAAAGCAGCTCTTTCGACGGCCTTTGGACCAGAACTGTGGCTCTCCGTCAGCCGGGCCCCCTCGCGGGCCCTTGGGTCCAAATGGGTCCAAACGGTGCCCTCTTCCCCAGTGTAAAACATCCCGACCCCCCCAACAAGATTTCCCAGCCGTTCCCCTTGTGGAGAGGATCCCCTTCCCCTTCCCAGACCGGACGAGTGAGGGGGGGGGCTGGCCAGCAATGGAGACTCTCTGCTGGCCCCCCCTGCTCCAATGTTGGCCGAGGTGGGTCGGTTGGCTTCTCCCTTTGCTGCTGCTGCTGCACCCCACCGCTCCCCCTTTCTGGTCTGCTTCTTTGGCTACCCCCCCCCCCCGGACTCTTAGCTTTTGGCCGAAGCTGCCGGGGAGAACGAGCTGAGAGGAATGGAGGGGATTTCCGTGGGCATCCCAGCGCCTTGGCATCTTTAAACGCCTTGAAGCAGCCTCTCCCGACGGAGAGGGGTCCAGCTCGTCACCCTGCCTCTGTAACCAGAAGGCGAGCTTTGCGCACTGGGGCTGGGGGTGGCAGGCTGGGGGGTGGCGCGGCTTCCCAGGTCCGGAATGGAAGAGGCAGCCTTCCAGGGACTGAAGCCCTGGCCTGCTGCAGCAATTCCTCCCTGCTTGTGGTTAGGGAGCCGGCAGATGGGGCTTCGGGGCCGATTGATGAAGTGGGGTGCTCTCAGAGCACTGTTGGGGGCGCCTCTGCAAAGGCAGCCAGGAGACGAGGTTGAAGACCCCTCCTCATCTTCTTCTTCAGTGTAAAAACAGAATTCTGCGTGTGCTTGAGGAAGTTGGCTGGCATTTTCATCAGACGGTGCTACAACAATAACGAAAGAAACACACACACACTCACACCAGAAAAATCTTGATTTTTTTTTTTTCTCGAGGATCAGGATGCAGAATTTTAACTGAATAAATACAAGCACAAAAGGTAACCCCAGGATACCTTTTCCCCCTCCCCTCCTTTGATTTCATCCTTTTGGCATTTGAAGCTCGGAGGCCAAAGCGCCTCTAGACGAAATCAGATATTTCTTGCCTGATTCCCAAATAGGGTCTGTTCCTAGTCCTTCAAAATTTAGGCCGATACGTACAGTGTTTTGATTCTTGCATTAGAGCTACAGGCTCTGGTGAGTTATTCTAACCAAAGAATTCTCTCCTGTTTTAATTTCCGCCCCTTTTACGGCAGCTTGATAGGAGTGCTTTTTATTTTTTTAAGAGTCAAGATGATTTCGATCCAGAATTTGCCTATTAGAGATTTTTTTTAAAAAAAAGGATCCTCATGCTTCGGTTTGTATATGCATAAAGAGAAAAGGGGAAATAACCAAGATTCAGGTTTGTCTCATTCATTCCTGATATTCTGTTTCTTAGGAACCCAGAAATGCTGGCTAATTGGCTTGCTTACTAAACCCGGATCTTTGTAAAACCTCGGTTCCTGGTTTGTATGCAACAGCAAGCCAGGGGTTGACCAGCATCCCATCTTTTCTTTTAGTTGAGGAAGAGACTGGAGGATTCCTGTTTGCTGGACCACATCATCTCCCTTCGTAGTGGGGACCTGCTTAGTGACTTAAAAAGAAAGCTGATTCCGACTGGCGCCAAGGTGCTTTTCAAAAAGCAACTGGATTTTCTTGTGTTTTTTTTTTTTTCCCCCTTGAAAACATTTTGCTTCTCATCCAAGAAGCTTCTTCAATTCTCAGAAGCTTCCTGGATGAGAAGAGAAACATTTTCAAGGCAAAACCCAAGAAAGCCCAGCCCCCTGGAGGGTTGAGAATCTCCATCAATGAATTCCAGTTATAAAAAGCAGCCGCATTTACCCAAATGCTGAAACATTTCAGCCTGATAGCTTCATTTAGTGGGGTCTGTCTGTAAAATGGGAATTGGGGTTATTTTTTGAAGGCATCAAGGGAGAGTGAGCGAGTGAGTGAGTGAGAGAGAGAAAGAGAGGAGGGGGGGGAGGATGATTTTTTTTTAAAAGGACAAGCAATAAGCCACTGTGTTGGGGAAAGCTTCCAGAAAATAGATGTCCCTCTTACTCTAAAAAGCCTTATTCTAAAGTGATTCCATTGTGTATATTTCAGCTGTGTTGCAAGAGAGAAGACATCTATCGGTTGAAATTCAATGTTAACATGTCATTTCCAAAAGGCAGTTGCAGAACTTTTCTAATACATGTGGAATACTTCTCTCTGAACTATGTTTTCTAAATTTTTGTAAACAATCCAGATTTCAGTAAGTGCTTAAATTAGTTCTAAGCTTTTTTTCCCCCGTCTTTCTTTCTTTCTTTCTTTCTTTCTTTCTTTCTTTCTTTCTTTCTTTCTTTCTTTCTTTCTTTCTTTCTTTCTTTCTTTCTAAATAAATCTTGTACTGTAGCTTATTAAGTCTGTCATGGTAGTCCTGAATGGAGGTGTTTTGAATTGAACTTTGTGACTTGGTGTGTACATAAAGTGTATAAACATTTTACACGAATCATTTAGTTTTTTATTCATTTATTAGTGCTATAAAAATTTTTCACATGCTGTACTGTACCCTGGACAAAAATGCTTTAATATGAAACTGTGCTCCTGTAATCAATTTATAGGGGGAAAACTTCGGTATGAATATAAATGGAATTATGAAAATAACGTCTGTCTACCATTATTTGCTTGAAGTGGAATTGAGAGCTAAACCCCTTGTGAGCTAAAACGTACCCCTCATTTTGCAAAATGCATACAAGACGACTCTCGTATTTTGACCAATGAATGTGTGCTTGCTAGCAGACTATTCTAAAGCTCCTATTATTTTTTTAAATAAAACAGATTTAATAAAATAACCGGAGATTTCTAAGGGTAGTGCTCTGGGTAACTAACACTGCATGAGCCAAATACTTAGCAACAATGTTTGATATCCCTCAGACCATCTGGAGAACAGAGAGGCTAGGAAAAAGACTTCAGAAAAAGCATTTTGGACCTGGTGAAAAATCAGTCCCTTTCTGCTGCTCATTAAAGCAGGCTATTCTGCCTTTTCGACATGTTATCCATCTGTTGCCCCTAGTACGTCCTCTGAGGGCAGCTATTTCCAAGGCTGAGAATGTCCCCACCCTGGGCATTTTGAGTGACTTTTGGAGCTGCTTCCTGATTTTCAGTGGTGAAAATTTGATGGCTGCAGCACCTTTTGAACCATTTCTTTTGAGTCTCTCCTTAGGCCTCTCTTGATGCAGAATTTTCAGGATATTTCCCCCCCCCCCAAATATGGTTCTACTCATCATGTTCTAGGGCAAGGCTTTTCTATCTTTTCACCCATTGTACCACTTTTAGGATATGGCAACATCCAAATACCACCAGTTGCCTAGCAAGGTGTCAAAAACTTGATGACCCCCCCAAAAAGGAAAAAAGTGATAAAGTACAGGTAGTCCTCGATTTACAACAGTTCGCTTAGTGACTGTTTGAAGTTACAATGACACTGAAAAAAGTGCCCCCCAAGCCACAGCTGAGCAAGACGCCTGCCCGCCCGGCGGTGGCGTTCATCTTCCTGTCTGAGGTTTTTATTGTTGTGAGCATTTCTGTTGAGGATTGGCAGCGGGGGTGGGGTTGGGGGGTGTTTGGTTTTTATTCCTCCAGTCTGCTGGGTGGTTGCAGCAGGTTTTGGTCACTTTACATGACCCTGGGACACTGTGGCCATCATAAATATGAATCAGTTGCCAAGCATCTGAATGTAAATCACAAGACCCTGGAGATGCTGCAACATTCCAGCTGATCAGTGCGTCTTCCGGGCTCAGCAGAAGTGCCAGGATCAGTGCTGCTTTCCAGCTGATCGGTGCTTCTTCAGGGCTCAGCAGAAGCACCAGGATCATCACTGAGCTCTAGCTGGAGCCTGGTGCTGATCCTGGCGCTTCCACTGAGCCCTGACAGCCCCAAAGAAGCGCCGATCATCTGGAAAGCGGTACTGATCCTGGTGCTTCCGCTGAGCCCTGACAGTCCTGCAGCTCCAGCCATATCTCTCGCTCAGGCTTGTGTGGTGCTGCCACCGGTTCAGCTCATTCCCCTCCCCCGCTACCACTTTTCTAGGATGGTCGCATACCACCTGCCAGGTGCCAATGTACCACAGGTGGTACCCGTACCACTGGTTGAAAAGCCCTGATCTAGGGATCCAAGTTCACCTATTGGAAGGGAATAGCCCTAGCTGCCTGCACACACTCCTGGGAGGATTTTAAGGCACAACTCTGTCTAAGGCTAAAAATAAAACTCTCCTCTCCAGGTGTGGACCTATCAAGGTAGATCTTTAGGAAGGCTTATTTCGTATTGGGAGGGGGATGTGATTGAGGAGATGAGGGGAGCTTCTGCCCCAAGGCAGCCTGGCTTTGAAGTACCCATTGAGCTGGTCCCGTTCTACCTTGGGCCAGGAGTGCAGGCAGCCCGTGCCCTATGATTCTTGTGAAAAACCCAATCTTCCTTCCTTGCTATTTTATCTTTTGAAGTATTACTAACTTTATTATTGATTAAATTTATATTTTGCTTGCGTTGTATTTTTTTTTCTCACTACAACCTTTTTCGCTCGATCATTCCATTTTTGTTTTTCATATTTCTTATCTGGATCCTTGCATAATGTTCCCTCTGACCTCAAGTGCAGAAAGGTAATCTGGTAACTATCACCAACGTATTCTTTGGCTGACATGCACAACAACCTTGATGATACCAATTTGTACCATGTGGTCCTTTTATTCACAAATTCAATTTACATTTTCTCTTCCCTACATGCATTAGATGCATCTGTTTTGCTCCAGAAGGTCCGGTCCCTTTCAGCTAATTTTACTTATTTTTAATGTTACAGACATAAATCCTCTTCTTGTTTAGTTTTGGTAGAATATGCTCTCATTCGTGCCACATACAGAATTTCTTGCTAAGGATAAGGTGAGTCAGGGTCATGTTGATCTTATTTGGTCATCACTGAGATTGGAGATTGGAGAACCACCTGTCTGAAATGGTATAGGACAGGGGTAGG